GTGGTGAACGCCCTCAATAAGGTTAATGGGTTAATGGAGAATTCAGGACTTAATGCTACTGAGGGTGGTTCTTTATATATTCCATTTTTCAGGCCACCTTTAAAGGACTCAAGATTGCAAAGCTAAGCTGATAATGATCAATGTTACAGGAGGATCACATATTGCTACCAGAAAGTAGTCATTTCTCAGTCATCAACAAGGCAGCTGTAACATTGCTTCAGATCCTGCTTTTGGTATAAAAAGCAAGAGATAAAGATGATACAAAGTACCAGATATTCTTGTACACGTGCAAGGAAAAGATGCACACTCTACTAAGTGGTTGCTCTGGACAGAATACAGTTTGGGAACTGACATGTGGTAGCTACAATTTTTTGCACAAGCCTGGAAGCCCACAAATGGCCTTGAATTTTACCTCAAGGCAGCTATTGACACATACACTTACTAGGACAATTACACCACCTCTGCCTCAAGAAGTTCCTGAGTCTCAAAACACTGGGACCCAGAGAACTTACTAATTGAAGAGAGAAAATCAATCAATCACTCTTTGCTTGCCCTGTTCTCACATGCTTCCCAAGGCAGCTACTGCTGACCACCGTCTGCGTGGGTAAATAGACCTGGTTGTAAAAGAACAGATCACCATCTTAGCTCTATGGATGAAAATTCCATTTTCTTTTGGTGTCTCCAAGTTAGTAGTAGTGATATGATAGCTGTTTTTTTTTTCTCCCTACAAGTCACCATACACACCTACCGTTTCATAATGGCCTCAGAAATACAGATGGAATTAGTTACTTAAGTTCTCAGTATTGTTCCTCCTGCCCTAAACTCCACTCAAATCCCAAAGGGTAAATCAAGCCAACAAGAAAGCAAACTAGAACAGGCATTAGCATCTATGTAGTCAAACGCACTGGTAAGACTCTTACTGACTTCAGCAATGCACCTTCATCACAAATGCTAAGATGGCTTAGGGATTTTTGAAGCTGAAAGAGACAGTATTGCAGCAGGGATGGATCCACAGTTCTGTCTGGAAAAGGGCAAACTCAGAAAGAGGTCAGGAAATGAAAGCAGTAGGTCAGAGGGTAAACTTATGATGCAGAGCCCAGAAAAGGAGCAAGCTTAAGGACTGATTTGCATTGTTCAGCTCTACTTGGAGAAAGGATCCTTCTTAAAACTCTCTGCGGCTTGCAGTATACTGTAACAATCAAACATTAAATTGAGAATAAATCTCTAATGAGAAAGAAAGGTGATTTATGTCATTGAAGATACAGAACATTTATAGAATGCTTATATTTAAAACAGTAGGAAAAAAGCCTTTCTGAAGCAAACTTATGTCAGTTCACTCAAACAGCACAAAGCAGAGGCAGGATACCAGCATCCACCAGAAAGCAGACTGTAGGCTTATCAGCCCAAAGCACCAGCTCAGCCCAAAAAGCACCACACCCCAACAGCAGCAAGTTATCAGCACATGGCACAAACTGATAAGCTTTACATCTGCGGGAACTTCCAGATAGGAGGTTTTCGTAAAAAGCCGCCCAGCTCACACAAAGTTATTGGGGGCGGGAGGGTGGGGTGGAGGAAGGAGGTACAAGCACCCTCCCGCACCGTACCTGCTTTTGCATAGCCGATGAGCCCTCCTGATGCCACCAGGGCGGCGTAGCCAAAGCCGAGCCAGTCCACCACCATGCTGAAAACTGGAAGAAAAATTGGTGTAAGCATCTGTATCTCTTAAATTTTTTAGGAAAGAAAAAAAAAAACAAACAACATTTTGCCGCGGGGGGCTTTTCAACGAGCAAGGCCTGCCGAAAGCCCAGGCCCTAACGAGTCCAAGAGCCGAAAACCGATTTGTTGGGAATGCAGCCCTGGGGGCGGCCGTGGGGGTCAGCCCCCCCCGCAGGGGACAGGCGGGCAGCGCTCACCTGCCCGGCGGCCCCGCTCCACAGCGGCCCGGGGCGGAGCAGGCTGCGGAAGGGGAGGTGAAGGAGCAACGTACCGCCCAAAGCCTCCCTTTTCCGCCTGTTCGGAGGGGAAAAAAAAAAAAAAAACAAACCCAAACAAACCAACCCCCCAACAGGCAAGGTGGGGTGCGTCCCCCAGCCCGGGGCTGCGGAGGAGAAAGCGTTGGTGCCTTCCCACCCAGCTGCAGAGCGGCGGGTAACTCCCCCGGCCCCGGCGGGGGCGCATCGAGGATGCCCGAGCAAGCCCGGGTGCCTACAAATGAGGAGAGAGTTCAGTGCAGGGGTTTTGTGGTGCTTGGTTAAGTGAGGGGCAAAGCTCCCCCAGAACTGCATTCCCGTGCACCCTGTCCATCCTGGCCCTCTCCCAGAAGTGGGGGTTTGTGGTACAGCTGAGAATCTGGGGGTGGTTTTTGGCGTGGCATGAGCTACAGCTCTGGGCAGAATACAGGCTGCTGCTAACTTTGATGAGCAAGTTCAGTATAGCCCTTGTATGGAAGGTGTAGAGGATTTCTATAATCTTCAAATTACAAGCACAGCTAGTGCAACACAAAAAGGAGTCTTCTGCTGTAGAAGTTATGCAACAGTGGGAGATAGAAAACATCTTGTAAGGAAAATGTTTTGCATTTTTTTTAATCTGGAAAAAATGTAGAGAGATGTTTTAACTACCCACAAAGATAAACTCTTTTTTCAAGTGCTGAGACTAGCTTTCTTCACGTAAACAGCGCTGCATGATTTATTCCAGTTAGCTGTGCACTTACCTCCCACGGACATTTAACCATATAAAAAGAAAGAGCACTCTTCCAGACAGGTCCCTGAGCTGAGGAGCTTCAGTTCATCTTCCTAACAGAAGGCACAAAACATGAGAGGCCTGCGCTTTCTGCAAAATGCAGCTTTCTCCAGCTGCATTTCAAATTTTCATCTTTATGAATTAGCCTAATGGTCAGAAAGTGGAGAGCACTTTAATTCCCTTGTTGGCCTAAGTGGTTGAAATAGAGATCTCCCATCTCCCTGAAAAGTGCCACAACCAGCACAGATCTAGGCTATACTGGATGGGGTTCCCTTTTCTGTTCAAGCTGTGCGATAGCTATGAGGTTCAAATTTCACCGGGCTCTGCTTTGTGATCCAGCACTGGGGTTCCCCAAGAGGGAAGCAGGAAAACTGGAAGAAATCCACAGCCGCTGGAGCTGCTGAACTCACCAGGGGCTCAGCTGAGATGCTGCTCACCAGGCTGCTGTTTCTTGCGGCCATGGCTCCATCTACGCTATGGGTGTCACGCACGCTCACCCTTTCCGACACAGGAAGAGCTTTCTCACCCCTGACATCTCCTCTCTCTCTGCACTGCTGCCTCCCCTCTATCATTCTAAGCAGTTCCCTGAAAACTAAAATGGAAAATGTTCTGAAAAGGAAGACGCGCACAAGAGAACAACAAAAAAAATTTGCCAAGTACTGGTTAGGAGCTGAACATTCACTCAAGGTATAGAAAATATGAGTTCTCCTATCAGGATTGTTTCTGTATTTCACCATAAAAGCTGTTAGGACTTGTCTTCTGTCTCCAGTTCACAAATTGTTCCAAGCCTCATGAGATGCATAATTCTTTGTTACTACACAGGGAGTCTGGATTTTTACCGATGTCTAGTATTTACTTGTAAGTCTAAACCTTAGAACCAAAATTTTGTGGAATTTTTTCTTTTTAATTCTTAAAATTATGTGCAGACTGGATTTTTCCTGGTGCTCATGACAGCTTCTGTAATTGTGGTGTCCATGGCCATGAGCTCATGTATTTAAAAATGCTAACAATAAAAACTGTTTTAGTAGTGGCAGCCATTTTGTCAAGAACAGACAGAAGATAAGCACTGTAAAATAGACATAACACTTTACAAGAGAAAACACTTTACACAATTATCTTATTTAAGCTTATACTTTGTAAGTCCCATATTTACTACAGGAGTCTTGTTATCAATTAAAAATCTGATTTGATCCCTTTCCTTGTTGTGTGTACCTTTCCTTGGCTTGTGATCATCTATCTAAATAAGGGAAACAGTTGCAGGAGATAAATACAGACACCCACCTCCAAGAGAATACTGCCATTGCCACATGAACAATCTTGTAACAGCACCGATGACGCTCACTTTGTTTCAGAGCATACACACCGATGAGCTGGAGTTATATCCTATTTTACATCCCTAAGACAGCCTGCATTCCTGTCTCCAGATTTGGCTCAATCTTTTTTCTGATTTTCTTTACCTTTTCTCTTGCTACACAAATAAGGAGGAACAGATTGTTACTAAAGTGAATCAGAATAAAGCACAATTCCAATTAATCTCTGAAAACAGAAGAAATAATGAGTACTCCGGTAGTGCAGAAAACAACATTAAAATGCCTTATTTGAAAAGAAATAAAGAGAACATTTAGTACAGCTATTGACCTTGTTGTCTCCAGCTCAACTTTGTTTTTCCCGCTGTGTATTTGTAATAAGACTTAGGATAAAATCCTGTTCCCACTGACTGAGGTGGTCAGGAATTCACTTTTTGTTTAAGTGCAAAACAGATGGGTGACATTTTATCAGCGTGACAAACATTTCAAATTTACAGCTCAGATCAAGGACTTGAAAAAATACTATGGGAAGGAGGAAGAGAAGGTAAAACCTTATTGATATAAACTCTTCCACCTAAAAATATGTATCATGTTCTAAACAAAACATTTCAATCACGTGAACCATGGGTGCAAAGACTTTAAAAAAAATGAAATGCATGAATTACGGACACGGTAAAAAACCCAAACATTTTGCATATAAACTCTATACATAGAGTATAGAAGTCAAGAACTAGAAAGTTCGATTTTCTGTGAATGTATGAATGGAATGTGATCATCATATTTTAAGTAATTTTAACATGTTCCTTCTTAAAGTAGGAAAAGTAATGCATGACAGAGGCAGACGATATTTTGAGTCAAATGAGCAGTAACTTTTCCAACACTAAAATGAAAAAGTGTATGTATTTCTAATACGCATTTAAGTGAGACAAAAATGTAACCGAGACAGATGCACCTATTTTCATCATTTTAGCTGGCTTTTTCAGAGCCAGTTAAAAAGTGTATGCTATTGTTAATAGAAAAATATAAACATTACATACTATGAATTGATTTTTGCCTCATTCCTTTAGGAAAAGTTGCCATCTCTTTTGCTACTTCCCAGAATGATCAGTCAATTTATTAGGGTAAAAACATTCATTACTTTTAAACAATAGATCAGTTCAGAGGTATATGTCCTGTCAGAGGTTTACATCCTTGTAAAAACTACAGCAACACCAGTATTTACTTTTTATTCAGGAGAGAAAGTAGCTGCCTTCATGCTGAGCTATTCCGTTTCTTTTTCTTCTTTTGCAGCGGAGCTTCCAATTTTTGCTTGTCTGGAGTAATCTTCATCTTTCTTTTTGCTGTTTTATTACTCTTATCAGTCCAACAAACTTTGTTTTTTGTGACTATTGATGACTTTTCATCTTCATTTGCTGAAAAAAAGCAAGAAATTATTCACACTGATATTTATGTCCAGTCTTTGTAGTCTAAAATCGCACAGAGACTTATTTGTATCTTATTTTAAAAAAGGGGTTATAAATGATTTTTATTTATGGTGGAATGTGCCATTTATGCTAGTTTTGCCTGTGATATGAAAATATCTAAAGAACAAGTATGTAAATAGATTATGATACAGGAAAACAACAGAAAAAAAAAAAAACAACAACTGAGCCGGACTTCCTAAGTTTGCCCAACTACATTGCCCTCAGACCTAATTTTATTTATAGGAAAACACGACATGCAGTTCTAACAAACCGTTTATTCTTTTCTTATCTGTCTCAAAAGCTTCACAGCGGCCTCCTCAGTATGTTATTCCGGTAAAGAGAAACAAAACTTTCATATAATGGAAGTGAAAAGAGGCTTATGTCCTCCAACATACATGCAGGCTTGAGACATTATCAGATTGGTAAGGATATCTCTATCACTTGCCAGCGTCATATCCTCAATTCTTCAAGATACCAAACTTTTTCCAATTCATATAGTAAAAACCTCCCACTTAGTATATTCTATTTCACAGTCACATTAACAACCGAAAATACATACAGTTCTATTACCTTGAGATGACGTTGCAGCTTTATCAGAATTCTCTTTCGTTTCTGAAGCTTGGTCAAGCCATACTGCAAGACACGTCAGCCTAGCTTTGGTATTCACTTCACACAGTAAAGACGGCACATCTTTAATCTGAAGATTAATATAGAAAAAGATTAATTAAACAGTATTCTATTTCTGTTTAAATTCACTGAAGTATTTGAAGTGAGAAAGTATCTTACTGCCCACCTTCCACTTAATTTCTGGTGCCTAACGATGTTTAGAACTAGAGGTTGTATACCTGTTAATGGTCACATCGTTACAGTCCTGTTCCTGATACCATTCTTCAGGGGTGGTTTTACAAAAAACTCCCAATGGCTTTAAGAACGTATCTTGATAAGCAAGATCAGTGTGTTTCAGGCACATGGGGGTAAGTTTAACACAAGGAATAACTAGATGAGTCATAGACTCACAAAAAAAAATTGTTAGTGGTTTCAGAAGTTTCTCCAGAGTAATAGGTATTTTTTGGTACAGCTAAAGTAATTGCAATTAAGTCAGTGCATCAGATTCCTTTTCTCCCTCACAAAGACAAGGCTGCTGATTAAAAGTAAACTCTTCAGTGTGTTTCAAATTGCCTACCTGCAACTGTATCAGTCAGCTCTGGGAATACTTGAGCAAATATCCTATTACAGGTATCAGGGGATCAAGTGTCACAAGGACATGTGCAGCATAACAGCATCAACCCATCAGAAAGTACTTGTATTAGGATATTCTACCTCACAGAGCTGGACAGAGCAGCCCACACGGTTATACAAAGTTTTACAAAATTTTGCCTGCCCAGGATGAAAATCACACATTTGGTCAAAATAAAGACAATGTTACAGAGAAAGGTAGAGAGTTCCTTGATCACTATGTCAATTATGTACAAGGGGGACAGAAATTTGAGGTGAAGGGAAAAGAGGGATTTTTACTACTGCACTTAGAAGTATAAAAATAACCAAAGGGAGTGAAATTAAAAATGGGCAAATTCAGATGAGATACATAAAGTGTATAGATGTTGAGAGATAATTATTTGAACTATTCAAGATGCTTATAGTGAAATATAGTAGAACCTTTATTACCATGCATTAAATTTAAAAAATCTAATTCTGATTTTAAAAGACAAACCCCAGAGCAAACAATAAACATGGGAAACTTTAAAGATAAGACATGACTCCTTGTTGAACTGTGCTACTCGGAACTGTTTGAAAAGACAGGAAATAAAAGTACCCAGTACATTAATGTCTTTGAATTTTTCAAAAGGACTTTTTCCCCCTATATGAACAACCACTTCTCCCCAAACCATAGAGTTTGTGTTTTTAAGAGAGTAGCAACTGTCATCAACAGTACAAACGTTCACAGCAGTTCTTAGATCATATATAACTGATTAGATAGTCATTAAGTCTGGCCAGGTAGGTCTGAAGGGAAGCATGACTTTACATAAAGAGGAGATGAGATCTCCAGAATATCATCAGATTTTATTGTTTGCTTAAAAAAATTACAAAGATACAAAAATATACCAGTGCGTAAAAGTATGTGCATAGACATATACATCTCTACTGAACATAACATGGAGGAAGATCAAGACAGCCAGGCTTCAAGTAAAATTTCCTCAGTAATTTAAAATTCATCTTTATAACAGAATAGTCTGCAATTTTGGTTGTCTAATATTTTCCCATAAATGTAACAGGCAGTTTAATAGACCAACCTTATTAAGATCCAGATTCCACATTTTAATGTAACCATCACTGGATGCAGTAACAATAACATGTTGTCCTTCTCTTTCAAAACTATAGATATCTTTTATTCTGTGAAGAAAATGTAATGCTTTGTTACTTTATAGCATGGCAGTTCACTTCAGAACAGTAAGCTGACAGAAATTAAAGATGAATAGGCAACAGTCTAAAAATCAGTTTGAACAGAAAACCCACAAATGACAGGCAGGAACTTGGAATCGCAATCTGTTTCGAATGCTGTCATTTCTAGTAGGAACACTTGCCTTTGCTAGGCTTGTTAGGATTCAACTCAGAACACTTTAGTACTTTTAAGCACACACTATAAACCACATCAATGACATTTCAGCTAATGCTTTTGTGTTTTTATGAATTAAAAGCAGCATTTGGACAAACACTTGGTATTTGACAACAACAGAGAACATGTGATTACCCTCCTATTGTCTGGACTGAGTAGAACTGGTTTGTTTTATTTAAGCATTCTAAAGAGTCAGATTCTGTAAAGACTGGTTAAACATTCTTTAGATGCTCTTGCAGGGAAATACTGGTACCCAATTTCAGAAATGCATAGACCACACAGAGAAGTGTGTACCTCTGTGTGCGTGTGTGTGTATTTTTACTTTCTCTCTCTCTCACACACAAATTTAGAACTGTAATATTTCTAATTTTATACCCTGTTGGTTTTGTAACGTGCATAGACAGCATAGTACTTGTGCTCGTACTAAAAGAAAACAAGTCGGTCCCAGATTTGGAATTTAGCACATAAATAAATTTGCTTGCTACACTGTAACAAAAACAATAGTAAAATATGCTGAACATTACAAGTCATTGAACTTTACTGAGTACTCAGCATTGCCATAAATATTTAAATAGTAAACAAATATAGAATACCTGTTTTCATGAGCTTTAAATTCACACAGACATTTTTGAGAGTCACAGCTGTAGAACCTTATAATTTCATCATCTCCAGCTATGGCAAGGATAGAATCCTTGGAATGGGAAAAAAGAAATGCAAGTGTGATTAATTTCATGTGTTTTCCAAACCAGTTAATTTCCCAGCACCTTTCTTTTTTGTACTTACTGTAATAAATCTAAGTGAAGAAATTCTCTTCTCTGTTGTGATAGTGCCAGTGATTGAAGCTGTGTCAAGTTTGTAGATATCCACTTTATTTGTTATCACGGTCACATACTTTTCTCCATCAGGGGACCATTTAATTATGTGGGCATCTGTACATATTGATACATTTGTATACACATGTACACAGGTTTTTTGCACTCTATATTGCATGAGAATCTAAAAGTAAGAATCTTTAGAAGCTGCTAGACACTCTTTTCTACCTAAACCTGAGAAAAATTCAGAAAAAAATCAAATAACCTAGAATAAACAAGTAAAACTATGCTCTTAAATGTTTATTTCTGATTATCAGAAGTGTATAAAGAAAAACAAAACAAAACACATTTATTTAAATGTCCTGACATCAAATTTCAAGGAAAAAAAATTACTTTAGTGTCACTATGTTTTCCTTTTGGTAAATGATTATTATTAAGGACATAAGCTTACGGATGCTTGCCTGCATGTGTAAAAAAGACATTGTGAAAGTTGCTTGCAATTAACTGACTTGTTGATTAATTCAGTCTACTTCTCTTCACACAAAAAAATAAAACTATCTTATTCCACTTTTTTAGTGGATTTAGACTGATAAACTCACTTTGCTTCAGGTTTTTGATAAAGGCTGATCGTCCTTCTACAAGATTCCAAGTTCTGAAAGACAGCAATAGATAATGCGCATTCTGGTTAAAAACAGCACAGTGAAACTGAAGTCTTATCTGCTGACATGAGGCATCCAAAGGAAGCTTTTAAGCATCTCTGTGCATTTTACTGCCTTCTTAATGCAGCAGAAAATGATGACTTCATGTATCGCTTGCACACTATAAGGTTGAATTTGTGATATTTATTTTACAAACCATTGTTTGCAATGCAGATCCCAAAAGGAGCCCAATACCAATTTTTGCTGTTAAAATAGCATTTTATGTATTTAAAACACATACATACAGCAACATGTACACACCTCAACTGAAAAATTACTTTTCTCACACTAAACAAAACCTGACACCTTTCAGAAGTTTAAATAAATTGTGTTCCAAAATCCAAATATCTTCATAAAATCTACAAGTGACTACAAAGAGTCAGAGCACAACAAGAAGCTAAGAACAGCAAGGACTATTTTTAAAGGACTTTGAAATATTGCTGGTACCTAGAACTTAAAAAGACAAACCAATGGATCTTTGAACCATTTGATGTCCAAATATGTTTTATCAGTGTTCCCAACACAGAATTGTGGCTTGTAACAATTTACTAAGAGTTACTGAATTGTGATTCTCAGCATTCCTTCATCAGTTTCAACTCACCTTAATGTTTTATCTGTTCCTACTGACAAAGCTAATTTCCCAGAAGGATGAATAGAAAGAGATGACACGTGCCCCCTGATAAAAAGAAAACAACGTATTAGCCACATATATTATTTACAAGGAAAACAAACATGAAAACGTACATGAATATGCAGATTTAAGAAACTCACTTATGTGCCTTAATGGATTTCAGGCATTCCCATCTCTTTGTGTTCCAGATACAAATTACTCCATCTTCAGCCCCGCTCAGTAGATGTGCAGTACCATAGAACTCCAAACAAGTTATTGTGCCTAGAAATACAAACCAGAGCTATTAACAATGTTGTACATAATGAACAGCTATCACACAGAGGATGTATGAATTAACAGAGAAGCTTCTAGCATCAAAACATGCCAGCTACTACCCTACCCTTGGGAAAATCTAAATTATTTCCTAAGCAGTTCTTCACAAAACCCTTGAACTGTCTTGTTATATTCAATCCCTGATGTGTTCTATCAGCTCCCCTAGAGCCACACATGTCTGAACTCCACCTGGTTCATTCCCTGAAACAGCAATACTCAACCACTGTGGCTCAGGTGACACAGAGCTTCTACCAGGGGTAAGGAATTCTCCTATGTCAAAGCCCTGCCCTTGACGCACAGTTGAATTTACTGCACATGCTGCTTCCCATAAGCACCAGATTTATCATACATGAGTTGAATGGAGGTACCACATTCAGTCTAGCTCCACGTACTTCTTGGTTATCAAGAGAAAAAGGACAATCAGGATTGAGCTACACATGACCCAAACACATTTATCTGGACAGCCACTAACTGATGTATTTCACGGCTGTAATTCAGAAGGCACATAAACTGGGAAATGTACCAGGGTAACCCTTCTGGCAGCAGCAACCTGCTCTCACACACAAACTCCTCACACACAAACTCTCTCTTGTGTGGCTCATGTATGTCTGTGACAGGACAAGGGCACTGGGAAAGATGGTTGTTGGGAGTAGGCATGGTCTAGATAAACTGTCCTGGTAGAACAAAAATGGCTCATGAGCCATTTGTGGGCCATAACTTCTTACACGGTTAAAACTAAAAATAATTGGAAGAAGCGGCTATATTTGTGGGCTAATACCCAAAATTATTTTCAGATTTTTATGCTCAAAAGCTTACCTAGCTTGTATCGTCAGATCATCATGGCTGCAACACCGTCATTATTAAAGACTTATTAAAAAAAATTTCAATTTTCTTCTTCTGGTGAGGGCCAGTTTTTCAGCTGTAAGCTTCTATCATTAATGCTTTTTATGAAGAAAAGCTCCCTTACCATTGTGCTGCAGCAATGCCCCATGTTCTATCTTCTTTTTCATGTCATAGATTTGGATTGTCTCATCTCTGCTCCCAGTGACCACATATCTGCTATTGACTGCTACCGCTGACAATGAGGCAGAGTGGGCATGATGTGTAAAATCAGGGACAACCGTCCAGGACTGTAAATGAAATACAAAATAAACAGGTCTTTCTGAAGCTTACCACAGTGAGCTTCAACTTCATTATCCTTCAAGTTTTCTTTTTCTTTTCTTTTTTTTTTTTTTTAAAGGAAAACCTGAAAAAGTATATGTGTAAAATGCAAAGGAATTATACTTAGGTATAAGTACAATGGAATCTCATTGAGTTAATGTGCTGTTAGGAGATTAGTCTGGAATGATTTAAGCGTGCAAACCGCCTCTTGTAATCAGTCTTGGGCTTAGAAGAAGATGTACGTGAAAAAGTATCTGCACAGAGATAAATCTCATAGACAACGGAGCCAGATTCTTCCTTTTTCCACCGCTGCTGGCTGGAGACACGCCTTCCACCTGGCCCCGGCCCCCCGAGACAGTGTGGCATCCATCCCCTGCGCAGCTGTTTATCCTCAGCTCTGCCCTGAAAGGCTGCGAGGAACGAGCCCGCCCCACAGCCCCCTGCACCCACGCGGCCGGCCGCTCTCCGGGGCTCGAGGG